ACCTGAGTCAAAACACCATGACCCTTCTTCCTTAGGGTCACTAGCAAAGTCTCATGGACTACACAAGCATGCTCCCTATCGCCCTTGGGATTTGCATATTTGGTTGCTTTGCAGTATTTCGCTATGTGCTCCAATTTTTTGCATTATAGCACTGGCTATTCTTTAAGTCCCTCTTTTTCTTAGGCACGTTATCCCCCTTTTGATTCTCATTATTCTTATTCTTATTCTTGCCCTTGCCCTTCTTTTTCTTGAACGAACTAGAGTTGGGTTTTAGATTTACCAAAAGTACACGGATTCATTCACAGCAAGAGTATCACTAGTCATCCTCGTTTATTCTTTAGCTTTGAGCTTGGTGATTTTATCATCCAGCTTTAGTGTGCTTTCTTGTGCAGTAGGTGTGGCAATGGGCCGAGTGGCCCCAAGGCAAGGTTCTGCCGATCCTGGCCCTTATTTTTAATCTTTCTTCTTTAATTTTATTTAATTTTACTTGTCTAGGCCAGGCCCGGCCATGATAGGGCCATGGCTAGACCTAGGCCAGCTCTCAGGGGAGCAAGTTAGGGCTAGGGCCAACCCTATTGTGCAGTGAGGGCTGAAATAAAGGCTTCACATGAGCTTGGCATAGAATTCAGCAAGCGGCACACTTGCATAATTTCATCTGGCTTTATATGTGCAACCTCAAGTTCACGTACTAGAATCTAAGCTGCTGGATGTGTTTGGCTAATTTTCCTCCATTCATTTTTAGATCCGGATACTGCTTCATAGCAAGTGTCTTTCTTGTGCGGAAAGGAGTTATAATCAGCCTCGAGTTTCTCAGGAACTTCTTTTACAGCCTGCAAGAGCTCGAGGGCATGCAAATCATTCATGGCCATGAGGTGAGATCCTTTGCGAGGGTGTTTTTGGCCTCCAATGAGCATAAGAATCCAGTATAGATTGTCTTTCATAAACATTCCCTCTTGGTATAGGTGGGGGGTTTTTAGTAAGCATTTGGCTAAGTCCCTCCTCGAAGAGGACATAGCCAATTTTTCTCTACCCACTAACATAGTTCCTCCTTTCAAATATTTTAGACATAGTAAGATTAGCCATAAAATTTTTGCCTGCCATATTTCTTGACTTAAAAATAAAAGAAAAACTTCCAAACTATGCTAAATATGAAATCTCTGATACCAATAAAAGAAGTGGCTATGTGGAATTCAAGGCAATGAAAATAAATCTGAATTTCACTTACAAGTGTAATAATACATTGCTATAAACGAAAATTAAAACGCTAAATACAACTTAGGACCTTTTCTCCTACTGACAAATTGAATAGACACAAGCTAGAAATGAATACGAAGCTTTCGCTAACAAATTAAATACAAATAATATTCCTAAAAATTGAACATAATATGCAAATATGACTGAAAAACAAAAGCTAATAACTGGGAAGATATACTCAAATGTTCCTAGGGTCAATCCCATATGACTCAGTACACCTCACTCCTGGTTTTCTGACTGATGACGTACTCTAATCGTATTGGTCTTGCTGAATTTTCTGAATTCAGAAGCTTCTTTAAGCAATATCTCTCAAACAAGGGTTATGGAGAGCATAAAACACAATTAAGGTTTATTGGAACAACTTTTAGAACAATTATGGCATGACATAAGGCACCTCCCTTTTTTAGAATTGGGCGTGGCCCTCTCTTTTCAAAACCCTAACTAGCGTTCGGCGTGCCACCCCACACTTTTTTGACAGGTGGTGTGCCGCCTAACGAGAGAGAGAGAGAGAGAGAGAGAGAGAGAGAGAAGAGAGATGAGAAGAGTGAGAGGTGGGTGTGACGGAGAGAATCAAGAGAGAAGAGAGGCTTAGGAATTGTGTAT